ATTCTCAATGATTATGCCTTTTGTTCTTTTCATTACTTTCTTTGACCGGCTTTTTTCTTCTTAACACTGTAAGATTCAAATAAAATTCCATATCTTGCTATTGACTGCACATTAAGTTGTATAGATTATGCATAACTTTGCATAATAACAACTTGTTATCGAAAAAGTCGAGTTCTATTGATGGTAATGCAATTGATTATTTTATCATTATCTCCTTTTTCATTTATATTTTTCTCTTTTGTGTTTGCACGGGCTTATTTGGGGGGTCTCGACTCACTTCTGCCTAGTTAGTGATATTGCGTGCTTTTCAATATTTTTCTCAAGTCAATTGAGTGCTTGTTTGCTGGTTATATATATCAGTATTCAAATGCCTTGCTCACCATTGAAATGTTCTTCAAGAATATTGAAATATAAGACAAAGTGCTGAATTTATTTATTGTCTGAAAAAAAAAATGGCAGGAAACTAATTGGAGCTAGGTACTTCAATAAAGGGTATGCAGCCTATGGAGGAAATATTACTTCTAAAGTGAGTACGGCGCGAGACTATGATGGTCATGGCTCCCACACACTATCCACTGCAGGTGGAAACTTTGTCCCCGGAGCAAATGTATTCGGTGTGGGTAATGGAACGGCTAAAGGTGGTTCGCCAAAAGCCCGAGTAGCTACATACAGAGTGTGCTTTCCTCCAATCAACGACTCAGAATGCTTCGATTCTGATATCATGAAAGCATTTGATGCAGCAATAGATGATGGAGTTGATGTGATTTCATTGTCTCTTGGTGGAGATCCTTCTGATTACTTTGATGATGGCATAGCGATTGGATCGTTCCATGCTAATAGGAACGGTGTAGTAGTGGTAGCTTCTGCTGGAAATTCAGGACCAATCCCTGGAACTGTTTCAAATACCGCACCATGGCTTTTGACTGTAGGAGCAAGCACCATTGATCGGGAATTTCAAGCAGATGTTAAACTGCAAAATGGACTGTACCTAAAGGTAGCATTTTTCTGTTCAGAAGTTAGTTTGTTTAGGCTCCCCACAAGCTTATCTTTTTGACTCTGCTGATATCAGGGGACAAGTCTTTCTAAACCATTGCTGACGGATACATTTTATCCACTTATTAGTGCTGCAGTCGCTAAAGCTGCCCATGCAACAGCCGAGGATGCGTAAGAACGTTCTTTCTTAAACCCATGATTTTGGTCTTATTGTGTTTCTTGGAAATAATTGATTATTTGATAAATTGATACAGGATACTCTGCAAGGCAGGAACACTAGACCCCAAGAAGGTGAAGGGTAAGATTTTGGTATGTCTTAGGGGGGAAAATGCAAGAATGGAGAAGGGTGAGCAGGCTAGACTTGCTGGTGCTGCCGGTATGATTCTCTGCAACGACAAGACAACTGGCAATGAAATCATAGCAGATCCTCACGTACTTCCAGCCACTCAAATAAATTATACTGATGGTGTTGCTCTCTTTTCCTACGTCAACAAAAACAAGTAAGAGCATTCTCTCTACATTCGTCTCTATCTCATGTCTAATCTTTCGTACTAAACTAGTTACAAAAGTATTTCTATCTGAGAGACGACCCCTTGTTCCCCTGTAATGATCATACACTTATCATTATATTGATATGTGCAGGAATCCATTAGGATTGCTTACACCGCCTAAGGCAGTGGTGAACATTAAGCCTGCTCCATTTATGGCTTCTTTCTCCTCCAGGGGACCAAATACTGTCACTCCCGAAATTCTCAAGGTTATGTTTCATAGGATGGACTAGAATCTTATCCATTCTCTTGTAAATTTTGTTACTAAACAGAAGTTTATCGTGTCTCCAGCCTGATATTACTGCTCCTGGAGTAAATATCATCGCTGCCTACTCTGAAGGAACGTCCCCTACAGAGAATGCGTTTGATACCCGAACAACTCCCTTTATTACAGAATCCGGAACCTCTATGTCTTGCCCTCATGTTTCTGGCATAGTGGGATTACTAAAGACTCTATACCCCAAATGGAGTCCAGCAGCAATCAAGTCTGCCATTACGACAACTGGTAAAAACTTTTAATTCTCATTGTGATCATCGCCATGGTAAGCTATTACCTCATTTTTAACAGATTTTGTATGTGAACAGCAAGAACAAGAGACAACACGGAGAATCCAATGACCGACGCGGGTGAGAAAAAAGCAACACCGTTTGCATATGGTTCTGGACATATTCGACCAAACCGAGCCATGAATCCTGGATTAGTCTACGACTTGAGTGTCAACGATTACTTGGACTTCCTCTGTGGCATTGGTTACAACCAGACACTGCTTAGCAGTTTCACAGGATCAAATAAGCCTTATGATTGTCCAAAGAAGTACAGTATACTGAACTTCAACTACCCTTCCATAACAGTGCCAAATCTCTCTGGATCAATCACAGTGCACAGAAAACTGAAAAATGTTGGCACACCGGGCATTTACGCAGTCCGTATCCGTCAACCGGCAGGATTTTTAGTTTCTGTGGAACCCAATATCTTGAAGTTTGATAAAATTGGTGAAGAAAAGAGCTTCAAGTTGAAGATAAAATCCAAAAAAGCGGATAATGACGGTGAATATGTGTTTGGGGAATTATTATGGTCAGACGGCAAGCATTATGTGAGGAGTCCAATTACAGTCTCTTGATTGGGCTTAACCCATTACTAATATCTTGAATTTTATTTTTTATTTATTTTTTCCTTTTTTTCTTTCAGAATTCTTTATTGGATAAATAATGTCTAGATTGGTAAAGAACCGATGTTTATAAGTTTAAGTTAAAATTAATAAAAGTTTTCTATTTATTTCATGAACAATGTTGTTATTATCATCGAGTATCTAGCATTTGGATTGTTAATCAAACTAGTTATATTGGATATCACTCCTTTATGTGGTATTTCGCTCGCCTTCTCCCACATTCTTCTGCTCTGGCACACTCCATTAGACCCATCCTACAATACCAACATCAATGAATGCTATCATTCGGACAATGTGTTCGTGCTTTTTTCTCATCCTAAGGTACCTGAGGTTGAGCTGCGATCCATTTTTGATGAGATCATTCTTGCACATCGATTTGGACCCTCTTGTTTATGTACAGATGCAGATTTTTCTATTACAATTCAGTGCATCACGCTTGGAAGTGGACTTGGTCCATCCAAGCTACTCTCAAACAAATTAGTCACTTAGTCCCTTTCGACCTTGATACTATTTTTCATATTTATCATGAAGAAAACTAGGAAGCTGACTCACTAGTCGCAGAGGGACGTGAGCAACGCTGCTCTCAAGAGTACAATCATCTTGAGTTGTCCTGATGATTTGGCAACCTAATACAGATTGAAAGATATGGACTTCCAGCGTTTATAGGCCTTTAGGCATTATTGTTTTATATTTCGCATTTGTACAAAGGTAGTACATCCTCATTTACTGTTTTACATTTTCTTAACTTTGATGGGAGTTTAGGGTTTTACCCGCTACATTGTATTCGTTTATATTTTATTTATATCATATTAGGAGAATCCTAATCGCTCTCATCCTGTCTCGATGGAGTCTAAAAAATACACAGATTGTGACATTGATTTATTGATAAAAAGGGAAACACGTATACACCTATTTATTTAAGTTGTTGACATGTTTTTTCTTTATTTTTTTTTCCCCGCATTTTCTTAAGCAAAAAGTTATACATTACTTGCTTGAATGATTTTGATTAGCCGAATTTGATTAAAGAATAAAGTGACAAATTTTAAGGAATTAGGGAACAAGCAATACACAAATTTTATGTCCTCTAATTTGAACACACATAAAAAGAGAGATCGAAAGAAAGGCGGAGAGAACTATGCTTTGGTAAAAGGTGTGACAGATGGCGTGCATTTTTTATGTACTAATTTTGTGTGGATAAAAAGGGTTTCATTTAGCTCCAAATCCCATAGCATGATGATCACAGCAAAACATTTATTTGTGTAGCAATCATCTAACGTTGTT